CCTTTACAGACAGGAATGGAGTCTACCTTCATAAGCCGATCAATCGGCATTTGGCCGAGAATTACAGCTCCTTGACGCGCTACGGCGCGAGACATATTTTTGTGAAGCCGTGCGTGGAGGTGGTTTACGACATCCGCAGAAGCCTCAAGGCAGGTAAACAGACTAACCAAGTCATACAAGCATTTGACAGCGTACAAATCGTGGCAATACATCTCCGTACAGAGCCTCCAGGCGTCAGAATACTTGATGGAGTGGTCGAGCAGCCTCGAGTTACCTCTGCGCGCAGCTCGATCAGCATTTGAGGCGCTCGGCCTGGGGGATCGCCTGTCAGTGCCTGTGACGACTATGGTGCTCCCGGGTGGAGAAACTCCCCTGGGAGCCGCGAAGAGTGGAGACACTCCCTCTAGCTCCTCTGAGATCGTGACGCATGGGTCCTCAGTTCGCTCCGAAGGCACAGTAGGAGGCAGCGGGAACCTAGCCACAGTCGATGAGACGCTCCCGGAGATCCGGGAGTGGCTTGGCGAAGAGGGATCGCTTGGATCCTTCCGGGAGTCTGCGAAGAACCCGGAGAGCCCGCTGGCATTTTCGATCTCGAAAGGTCTAGCAGCATGCCTTCGCCATAATCACAAGCCGCGCATTCATGTCAACGAAGCGGGATGGGCAAGACTGTCCGAGGTACTTTTTTGGCCTCGTATTGCTGAAACCTCCGCCTCAGCTGGGGACATACTGGAGGTGGTTCGCAGCAATCAAAAACAAAGATACCAACTGGGATTTCAAGTTGATGGCCCTTACTTCATTCGGGCAGTACAAGGCCACTCAAGAACAGAGGTCGGCGAAGAGAATCTGTTGGAACCAGTGTCGGAGGAGCAGCTCCCCGACACACTGCTGCATGGTACCTCCTGGAATGCTTATGAAAGCATCCAGCAAAGGGGGCTTCTCCCAGGCAGAACCCAGACTACTAGCAGCAAAGGAGGCCGGAAAGGAGGCAAGTGGCGCGAAGGGCAGCAGCATGTACACTTCTTTAGCGATGCAGGCGGAGTCTCAGGCCAACGGGAAGGCTCCACAATGCTGGTGAGAATCTCAACTCGCAAAGCCTCTGA